TCTTCTAGTTAATGCCAGTGTTGGTTTATGGATAATCTCCCCTACCAACACCCACTTTTCAGAGACAAACACTTTTCCTGAAGCCGGATGATAAAACGTGTGATTAACGTGGCGCTGTCTCCGTCGGCTCTGTGAAGATTAGAACTTTAGTTTTGATGCACCTCATGTTCCTGTTTATGGGATGTAGAACCCTTCAGTGGGCTGCGAATAAAAGCTGCAGACACAAATAAAGCTGTTTGTCATTGTTAGCGGTCGGGATTGAGAGCTGCTGTTGAGCTGATTGCTGCTTAGATAACGTTTTCTGGTCTTGGCTGCCTGACAGCTGCAGAACATCCAAATAAATATCCAAACTCCTTCTGGGGATTAAATGAGGAGTGATGGATGATGGAGGGAAAGTGCCCTGCCCTTCTGTTTTATTTAGGAGTTCCTTCCCTCATGTGTGATTGAGAGCGGATTGATGGACAGATTGGGACATCAGGAGGTCAGGTTTGGACCAACACAGATCAGAACCCCCTGCTCTTCCTCCTCAGAGCACATCGGAAAGCTCTTCGCTGCATCAGCAGGGACGCATTCTGTCATGGAGATGAAAGAGGAATCGGTCATTATACCTTAAAAACATCCACACACACCAGAGCTTAGAGTAGCAGATAAGAGGGAATTTTTGAGTGGACATAGTGCGTCTCTATGTTCGTCTCCAGAGCAATAATTAGCTTTCAGGTTCTGCCTACTGAATGTAAATTTAGCCTTCAGTTTGTGTCTAAAAATGTTTGAAAGTCCAGGATGAAAGTTGTCTTGATGCGAGTTTAAAAATATCCAAATGAAAACACAAAAGCGAAAGAAAAGGACTATAAATACCTCAGATAAGAGCAGGTTTGAAAAACATAATCTCTGTTATGTAACTCAGACCACAGATTATAAAAGACTTTAGAGGGATTTGTCCATTTCAGCATGGAGCAGCACAGACACTCAGATTCACATCTTTTTTTTACTGATGATGATGATGATCAAAACAAAACCAGGGCCCTTGTTTATCAGCTGTATTGCGAGCAGGTCTGTGTGTATTTTATGTATTGTGTGGTATTTACTATCCTGTATTTGTGGGGTTAGGGTTAGTAAATACTGTGGGAACATAACTCCACATGTTACTGTTCCTAAATATAAGAACAGCTCTGATCATGACTATGAACAACATCTGGCGGTGGAAGAGAAAGCCCGCATAAAACCAACATATTTAAAGCTCAGTTTGCTCCACTGGTTTACTGTGATGCTCACCTGTTCCAGCCAGATACCTGCATCATGGGGTTGATCTGAGCTGAGGAGGAGACTCCTGTTGTTTTGTTCATCTTCATCATAATAATGACAACATTAGATGACAGCAGGTTTTACTCGGATGTCCCTCAGCAGGGTGCAGCACTGTTGAAGGTCATCTGAATGAAAGCTTGATATGCAGTTTCTTTATGAAAGTGTGTAAATATACAGTGTGGTTGCCGTACATATGTTGAGGTTCTCAGACATCAGGCTTCTTTGCCCAGGCCTTCACTAGTGGGCTATTTTAAAAGTTGGTAAGGAGAAAAACCACAGCATATAGCTGATTGTTTACAAATGCAAGGAGGGGAATAACAATCAAAATGCTTGTGTTCTTGGACCAGATGAATGGAGCGCTCCACATGCACTCAGAGATGTTATGGCTTCTGTTTCTATAACTTCACATGCAGACATTTGAGGTTTGCCAGAAAGGAAAGCTGGCCTGTACACTTTGCAGGGCAATCAATGAAGAAACCCCAGTCTACCATGATGACCATCTCTAGTTGTAGCATTTTCAACACACCAGATTCCCAGGTTGGTCGCTGATAGTTCCAGCATACAGTGCTGAGACAAAGGTCACTGGCCTATGTGGCACAATCCAAATGAGCCTCTTCAGAGTGCAGTTGAACTTGAGGAAAATATATGACTCTGGAAGAGAGGGGAATATGGCCATTGACACCTCAGATCAGTGCAGTCAAGAATTACTGGTGTTTGGGTAGTCCTGAACGTGTTGTGATGCCCCCACCGTCTCATTGGGTTTTCATTTGTGTTTAATTGTGTTTTTCTTCTGTTGTAGGCAGCTGGTTAAGCAGCCTTGGAGGCACCTGGGCTCAGGGTGTGGTGCTGCCTACAAAGCCTACTGTTTTTCTGCTTTCACTGGGTCTCTCCTGTGTGGTGGAGAGTCCTCACTGGCCATTTTCTGTTCACTAACTTGCTTTAGTAAATCCTTACTTTTGTTAAATAAATCAGTTGTTGAACCCCCACTCCTCTGTTTGGTCACCTTTCTTATTACAGCCCACCACTTCCAGTCTGGGTTGTAACAATCTGCAGACAGATTTCTGAGTATCTCCTCCTTTGGTACACAGATCCTCACGGAGCCATGTACTGTGAACAAATAGTTTCTCCATGATATTATCCAGCAAGGTCCCATTTTTGTCAAAACTAGGGTGAGGTAATGAAAAAATAGAAATATTTCATTAAATTAACATTTAAATTATTTATATGCATCATTAAAATAAAAAAAAACATGTTTTGAAATATATAAAGTGCACCAAACTTGACTCAGTCCATTCAACAATTCTAAATGGACAATTATGTAACTCATCAATTAATTATTTGAAAGGATAATTTGTCAATTAAATACTGAAAAAAATAAACAATTCATTAATGAGGCAAGAACTTCTCTCTCTCTCTCTCTCTCTCTCTCTCTCTCTCTCTCTCTCTCTCTCTCTCTCTCTCTCGAAGCCCCACTCTAAGGGAGTTTGCAGTGTATTAGTGAGTCATATATTGTACAACCACAGTCATAAAGTTTTCAATCAGTAGTTTTATTTCAGTATGTATTTTTCCAGTATCACAAAAAATGTAATTTTATATGGTTAAAACCATCTAGCTTATGTGCACTTTTTAAAACACTGCCCAGCAAACATTCGGACGTTTAATGACAGTTGAACGGTCACAACTGTAAAATACCTGAAATTAAGAAAAATTAACATGACATCTACTGCATTTTCCTTGCCCAGACTCAAACCTGGATCCTCCGGGGCGAGGGTCACCCGCTCTCCCAGCTGAGCTATGCCAGCAACTACTGAATAGCAGACTTTTTTATATAGATAGGTAGAGGGTAAAGTGCGGGGTAAACTAACCAATCAGAGGACAGAGAAGATCATCCACAGGCCACGCCTCCAGAGTGCCAAAAGCCCTTACAGCCGAGCGAGCAGGAGTCAGAAACCGAGCGCGCAGAGAGGCTGCCGAGCGCGCACAGAGGCTGCCGCGCGCGCACGTTTTCCTCTGCCGTGTGCTCGTTGACAACGCGCGCACGCAGGTTTGTCACTTGTGCACATCCTTGTGCGCTCACAGACACAGTTTGCTCCCTCTCAGTGCACAAATGACCTCTTGCCATGTATATATCCGCTCGCGAGTCCCATTCACACGCACGCTGCCATGTATATTTTCGCTCGCGAGTCCCGTTCACACGCGCGCTGTGGACCCAATGCGCGTGCACGGGTTGTGGCACGCTTTAAACGCCATATCTGTGGCCCTTCACACTCTCTATTGGACGCTCCTATAGAGAAACCTTACATAAACAAGCGCGTGTACACGCACAGGTGCTCACATGGTGCTCTCAAAAGTATGGGCTTGGGCACGTTCAACACAGGTCTTAAAACTATGGTGGGCACTTAATGCACTGTGATTTATTATCGTGTGATTGTTCAGTTAAACAATGTTGATTTTATATTTCTTCACCAGGTTGACGCGGTGATAGCTTGATCTTGTTGTATTGTTGTTGGGTCCCATTTTTTTGTTTGTTTTTTGTTACTGTTTTCTTTCTTTCTGCAGGTCTAGAACAAGCCCCCACAATGCCGCTCTTTTTTTTTTCTTCCTATTTTTACTTCACCCTGTGTCTTAATGATTTTTAGCTGTTATTTTTGGGAATTTTGTTGTATTTCCTTTTTATCTTTTATCTGTGTTCGACATGTTTATATAACGCCTGTTTAATTAACCAACATTTTTAGTGTACAGCGCCTTGTTTGGTTGTAATGCCTTGTGAATGCGCTTTATAAATAAAATTGGATTGGATTGGATTGGAAAAATGGTCCCATCCCGGAAGTAAGAAAAATTGCAGTTCCACCCTCATCCGCTGGGGGCTGGTGCCAGAAGCGAGCAAATCCTCATTGACTCCCATGTTAAAAATGCCGATTTCACAGCAGAAATAAACATGTTTACAAAAATTCCCAAAATTGTTTTTTGTCTAAATTATCTAGTTTATACTCATGACAACTCTGAGGGGGGTGAATTTTTTTCTCACTCTTTTGTTTAAGTGTATTGAAAGCCTAAAATTCTGTATAATTAATGAGCATCCGACACACGTGACCGCCGCCTCAGACCCACGTGACCACAGAGCTAGCTCCGTGGAAAGGCCTCAGTACAGCCTCGGTCCCTCCTGGAAACTGTGTCGGGATTTTGAGTCTCTGTGCTTGTGAATTCTGTTTTGGATATTATTTGTGCAATTGTTGGACAAAATGACTTGCTGTGGTATTAATTGCACTAATAGAGCGTCCAAGGAGTCTCCACTTCATTTTTTTTTGGTAAGTTAAAATCTATATTTGTATTTTATGTCACTGCCTCCTTTAAACTAGCTGAGTTTACCGAAGCAGCTAGCTAACTATCAGTTTAACATGTAGCATGTACTGTTTAACCATGAAATTTAAATGTAAAATACGGTAAAATAATTAATAGGGCATATTTCGATGGGTAAAAGGGTAAAACCCAGTGCATTTAAGATAAAAATGGGTTGAAATATGACGGAGTGCGCCGCTTGGAGGGACACTCCTGTGCTCCATTCTTTCATCCGGTAATCCCCAGCGGTCAGGCCTGTAGCAATGAGAATTGCTCTTAACCGTGTGTTCCGCCCGGAGTCTAGAGAGTGTAACACCGGAGGGTGAGAGATAGACACACATGGCTGATTAAGTGTTCAATAAAGGTTTGCCTCGGACGAGGAAAAGTCAATTGAGCATCTTGTGGAATTTATAGAGAGAACAAGATGAAACATGGTGGCAGCGGGGTCTAGAGAGATCCACACCGCGCTCGGATGAAGAAAGATTGAGTGGACGGTACCGACGTGTCCAGCTAGGCTAATTAGCCTCGGAGGTGCTAACGGCTCAGGACAGCAGGTGAGACGCTGACGAGCAGCGTGCAGCGGCGGCTACGATGGATGGATTAAAGCCACCCGCACAGTGGAGCATGGATGCAGTTAACCTGTCTAAGGCGTGGAAGACATGGAAAGAAGAGTTTACACTCTACACGGAACTAGCTCTGCCGGATGCTGAGGAAAAGGCGAGAGTGAAGCTGTTTTACTATCTGATCAGGGAACGGGGCAGAGAGCTCTGTGGCACGCTGATCGGAGCTGAGGCAAGAGTGACAGTAAGTGAGCTGATGAGAAAAATAGATGAACACTGCAATCCCAAAGTTAATGAGACTGTGGAGAGATACAGATTTTTTGCACGCAATCAGGCTCCTGGAGAGAATATTGATAAATATGTTACAGACCTGAGGATGCTGGCGAGCACCTGCAACTTTGGACAATTAAAAGACTCACTGATTAGAGACAGGATCGTCTGTGGCACAAACAGCTCCAGCTGGAGGGAAAGGTTGCTCAGAGAGGAGAACCTCACATTAGACAGATGTCTAGATATTTGTAGAGCAATGGAGATTTCAAGAGAATACAACAAAACAATAGCGGGACAGGCTGAGGAAGAATTGCATGCAGTAAAACAAAAAGAGAGAAAAAGACTAGATAAAGAGATATCATGCAGATTTTGTGGAAGAGCACATGAAAGACTCAAATCCAAATGCCCAGCATATGGAAAAAATGCAAAAAATGTGGCAAAGAGAACCATTTTGCTATAGCATGCAGGAGTAAAAGCAGCCAGAGAGAAAATGGGAAAAAAGTGCACACAGTGATGGAGCAGGACTCAGATTCCTGTGAGGACATAATGACTGTCACAGCTCTGACACAGACTGCAGTAGAAGTGAACCAGATCAAAGAATCAGACAGAAAGAAACGAGAGCAGCTGTTTGCAGGCATGATGATTGGTGACAGCCTGGTCAAGTTTCAAGTTGACTGTGGAGCAACATGCAACGTTATTCCCATCAACATGTTGAACCAGAACGTCAAAATGGAGCACACAGACAAGGTTCTTGTGATGTACAATAAGTCAAGGCTGTGCCCATTAGGAAAGTGTAAGGTCAAGCTGACAAACCCAAGAAACAACAAAAAGTACAGAGTCGAGTTCCAAGTGGTAGAGGAGGATTGTAAAACGCCTCTACTGGGGAGAACAGCTAGTGAAGCGATGAAGTTAATACAAGTTAAGTATGATAACATCTGGACGTTGGACAGCTCAGTGACAACAGTTCCATCAGAGAAAAACACATGGTTGTTGGAAGAGATAAAGACTGAGTTTCAGGATGTGTTTACAGGAGATGGATGTTTACAAGGAGAATACAAGCTGGAAATCGACACAACAGTGCAGCCCGCCAAACTGCCAAAACGAAGAGTCCCAGTGTCGATGATGAAACCACTGAAAGAGGAACTGAGGAGTCTTGCAGACAGACAAATAATAGCACCAGTGGAATGCAGTACTGAGTGGATCAGCGGGATGGTGACAGTGCAGAAACCAAATGGCAAACCCAGGATTTGTATTGACCCGAGACCGCTCAATAAAGCTCTGAAGCGTAGTCATTTCCCGTTACCAACAATAGATGACATCTTGCAAGATGTGTCAAAAGCGAAAGTTTTCACAGTGTGTGACGTGAAACATGGCTTTTGGCATGTAAAGCTTACAGAAGAGTCGAGCCATCTCACGACATTCGCAACACCATTTGGTCGCTTTCGGTGGCTGAGAATGCCGATGGGGATCAGCCCAGCGCCGGAGGTCTTTCAGCGCAAACTGATGCAAGCGTTAGAGAACCTGCCAGGCACATACATCATTGCTGATGACATCCTGATCACTGGAAAGGGGGAGACAATGGAACTGGCAGAAATGGATCATGACAGAAACCTGAGACTTTTCCTGGAACGCTGCAGAGAGAGGAACATCAAATTGAATGTGGAAAAACTCAAGCTTAGAAGACAGGAAGTACCATACATCGGGCATCTACTCACAGCTGAGGGCCTGAGAGCTGACCCTGAGAAGGTACGGGCCATCACAGAGATGCCACACCAACTGACATAAAAGGGGTGCAGAGACTAGTTGGAATGATCAACTATCTATCCAAGTTCTACAAGCATCTGTCAGACGACTGTGAGCCTCTCAGACAACTGACACACAGAGACAGCCTATGGGAGTGGACAGACGTGCAGGACGAAGCATTTAAAAGACTGAAAGAAAAACTAACACAAGTCCCAGTTCTGAAATATTACAGCCCTGAAGAAGAGCTAACGCTGCAGTGTGATGCCAGCGAGACGGGGCTGGGAGCAGCCCTGACTCAACAGGGAAAACCAGTGGCATTTGCAAGTCGTGCACTGACGCTCACTGAGAGAGGCTATGCACAAATTGAGAAGGAATGTTTGGCTATTGTGTTTGGGATGGAGAAATTCCACCAATATACATATGGTCGCCTTGTGAGTGTGCAATCAGACCACAAGCCACTCGAGAGCATTATTAAAAAGCCACTGTTACATGCACCTAAGAGACTGCAAAGGATGTTATTGAGGCTGCAAAAATATGATATACCATAAATCCTCTAATACAGGCCCGGGCCTGTATTTGACTCAAGCTCATCAAGCTCCAGGCCTTTATCGAAGGAGGGCCAGTATTAGAGGCAGGCCTCTATTTCTATTTGAGCAAAATGAACTAATGGTTCGCTGGAGTTTTTGACAATTAAAATTGCAACCACATTTTCAAAGTTAAACGCATTTCTTTTAACAAGGGTAGTTCCTGCTTCAGCCCTCTCCCCCCTCCCCCTGCGCAGCAGCCGCAAACTCACTGATGCGCCTGCAGCCTCTCGGAGTTCCTGCTGCTCTAAACATTAAAATAATTATTTCATTTTCTGTTCCTCACTTCTGATTACCTTCAATGGTGTCTGTTTGTTGCAACAGCAGGTACAAAAACTAACTTGTTTTTATTTGACTATTTTTCTGTCCTGTCTGTTTATTATCTTCCTGCATCTCCTCTCAATCCTAAAGAAAAACTGCTGCCTGGGTTCATATATATTCACCTTATGAGTTACCTTTGAACTGCTGTTCTAAAAGATCTACCGACCGCAAAAACAGCGGAGCGCTCGCTGTTTGGCGGCCGTATCAGTGATCAGTGCGTCGGAGGACAAGGTGATGCGCGCAGCGCCCCGCTCCACAGCATGCGGCGATACACATCAGGCGCAAATAAAAGACAGAAAACATTAAAGGAAATGAACCGACATGAACGATCGCGTGTCAGTACCTACGGTCTGGCACAGCGCGTTGCTGATCACAGAGAATGTGATCATACGATAATTCAATAGGGAGCGTGGTTTCACAGACGCGGAAGTGATAGCGTCGGTGAAACGCCGGCTGCTCTAGGAAACCCCCGAGCGTTCGAGCGTCAACGAAGTGACACGGAAATGTCGGGCTTTCCAGAAGTAAGTAAGATAACTTACTATGAGCTGATAGTTCGTTGGATTGATTGGTAGGTTGGAAACTCTGATCATGAATCTGAAGAAACGATGACTGAGTGGTGAGCTGGAAAGGCGACTTCCGTTTATAGCCGCGGTTTGTGACGTAGGTGCGACGTGAAGGGAATCCCCGCGAGGGGCATGCTGGGAGTCCCTACTTCGCAGATTTTCACCTATCGCGGCCAGGTCTGGAACGCATCTACCGCGATAAACGAGGGATTACTGTAGTTCATACACCCCCTACTGCTGCTCTCCAGAGTGTTCTGCAGCATAATCAGCACGTTCTCTTTGAACTTGATAGTGTAATGACCTGGCTGGGGTTGTAAGCCAGGTGCATTCTGGGTATTGTGTTATATGTGTTTCCTATCGTTCTGCTAGTTCCTATGTGCTGATTTGCGTGTTGTGTGAGTGTTATGTAAGCCACAGGGAAGGTGATGTGTGTTCTGTGGAGCGGGTTGAATTGGCATGGTTAACTGACACCGTGACTCTGTGTGGTAGGAGCGTGATAGAGGATCGTGTCTGTAGCTTTACAAAGCGTTGAAGAAAAAGCCTAATAAAGGTCTGCGTGAACCCCTACTGCCACCTGCTGGTTGATTTGTGGACTTTAACCTTGCCGCTGGGACGCTCGTACTTGCTTGTTACCACATTCCATCCGGCCACAATAAGAGACCGGCCATTATTTACCTCCGCTGACTCCGACACCGGCCAAAATTGGAGACCCGGCCTTTAATTGAATACCGGCTTGTATTAGAGGATTTACGGTAACCATAACATATGTTCCAGTGTTTCAGGCCGCGAGATGCTACTCGCTGATACGCTGAGTAGGGCCTACCTGCAGGACAGCATCAAAAGCCAGACAGAGTTGGAGACAGAATGTGTCAACATGGTGGATTATGTTCCTGTTTCAACAGAAAGCATGGACAGAATACGGGCAGGGACAAGAACTGACAGCACATTACAAATGCTAATAAAGACAATACAAAAGGGGTGGCCGGCCTGTAAAAAAGAGGTACCTGTGGGAATAACCCAGTTCCAATCGTTGCAAGATGAACTGAGCACACAGGATGGATTGGTCTTCAAGGGAGAGAGAGTGGTGATTCCACAAGCACTCCAGGCAGATATAACACAGCGAATTCACTCAACACACATCGGAACAGAAGGGTGCATCAGGAGAGCTAGAGACTGCGTCTACTGGCACGGTATGAATGACCACATCAAAAAGTACATAGCTACATGTGACATATGTCGGTCTGTGGATGCAAGACAACAGAAAGAGACACTAAAGCCACACGAGCCGACCACCAGACCATGGACCAAAGTTGGGACAGATTTCTTCAGCTTTGAGGGTAGGGACTACCTAATAACAGTTGATTATTACTCCAACTTTTGGGAAATAGATTATCTACCAGATACCAAGTCGAGTACTGTAATTAGGAAACTAAAGGCTCATTTTGCACGTCAGGGAATCCCAAATATTGTGTTTTCTGACAACGGGCCCCAGTACAGTTCGACAGAGTTTGCCAACTTCAGCCGGAAATGGGAATTTCAACACCATACCTCATCCCCGGGCTATCCGCAGAGTAATGGCAAAGCGGAGTCTGCGGTTAAAACTGCCAAACGACTCATGAAAAAGTCAAAATTGGCTGGACAGGATCCATATTTGGCCTTATTGGACCACAGAAACACCCCAACACAAGGTTTGACTACCAGCCCGGCACAGAAACTGTTAAGCAGGAGGACGAGGACACTCCTCCCAATAGGAAACAGATTGTTGCAACCCAAAGTGACTGATGACAGGTTGGCACTGAGGAAAAACACAGAGAGACAAACAAAGTACTACAACAGGACGGCAAAGGACATGGACACATTAAACCCAGGGGACGTGGTGAGAGTCCAACCTTTTGAGCAACACACCTTATGGTCCAAGGCTAGAGTGTGTAACACTCGGGGAAACAGATCCTATGATGTGGAGTTGGACAATGGCAGAGTCCTCAGAAGGAATCGTCGCCATCTGAGGCGAGCTGCGGAGGTCGGAAAAGACATGTCAGCACATCCCCAGCCAGAGGGACAGAACCTTACTGGGCTGACACAGAACGAGGGGAACATACAAATCAGCACTACCAGGTCAGGACGGGTGGTACAACAACCCGGATATCTGAAGGACTATGTATGCAATTGAGGTATTATATGAGTTATGTTGAGATTTCTTTAAAAAAAAAAAAAAAAAAAGTAGAATGATATGTTGACTTATATGTTGAGATTTGTTAAAAATAAAAATAAAAGTGGAATGATGATGAGTTATATGTGGAGATTTGTGTACTGGTTGGAGAACAGAACAACGCCTCTGTGATAATATTTGGAGGTAGGGCTTTGTGATCTGTTTACTAGTGGGGAGAAAAAAAAAAAGTAAATACAAATTTTTACTTCTGGGGGGAAATTGGGTCCAACAAAGAAATGTCATGTCTAAGTTTTGTGCCAGTTGCATACGGAGTTCTCAACGAATGAAAAGTTCAGTGTCTTTGTAAAAGAAAAGGGATGTAGCAATGAGAATTGCTCTTAACCGTGTGTTCCGCCCGGAGTCTAGAGAGTGTAACACCGGAGGGTGAGAGATAGACACACATGGTTGATTAAGTGTTCAATAAAGGTTTGCCTCGGACGAGGAAAAGTCAATTGAGCATCTTGTGGAATTTATAGAGAGAACAAGATGAAACAAGGCCGGGCAGCCTGACCGATGCGGCGCCTAGCTGCTGCGGGCTGACCGCTCGTGGAGCTCTCAAACTCGGAGACAGATCTGACCGGAGAAATACTGCAGCTCGTTGAGAAGTCTATAGGGCATACAGCGTTTCCCTTAAATCCCACCGCCACGCCGACAAGATCCCGAGTTTCTTTGTTTTTGTTGGCGCTGTTTACCGAAGAAGCAGCGGGAACACCAACAAGTTTCATCAGACTCGTAAAGTTTGTTTTTGCAGGGGACCCCCTGTATTTTACCGCTTCCTCCTGCGGTCTTCCCCTATTAAAATTTAAAATGTGTAACTTTATGTATTGGGATGAATGAGTAATATTCATGTTAAACTAAAACGTTAGGTATTTAGGGGGAAAAAACAAAATAATAAACATTATACAGATGTCAAATAAATCAAACTGTAATTAAACTATATATTTTCAAAGTCTCGATTCTGGATAAAATCCAGCAACATATGCTTTATAAATAAACACTACACATGGCTTTTACACACACACACACACACACACACACACACACACACACACACACACACACACACACACACACACACACACACACACACACACACAATGTTACATTGTGATTTCTTAGTAAATATTCTATTTGGCGAGAGATAAATTTTATTGTATTTATCCTAGTGAATCTATAATTAAACGGGTAAACTAGCAGTAGCACATCCAACATCAAAGAAAGTAAAATGTTACTATCAGGAGAGGGAGAATGTTTAAGTGGTTAGCAGCAGTGAGCTAGACGATGGCCCCCTCCATGAGGCCACCACAGCTCAGCAGAACATCGTTGTAGCTTCTTCTGGGGAGAAAAAAACTTAGAGAAAAAATAAAGTTAACAGCTGAAATAGCAGGAAATAATACAGTTAAAGAGCAGATTGTAGAAGAAAGAAACCCCTGGGTTAAACTGGTCTGTCTACTGCATAATGCTGAACTCTAACATGTGTCCTCAGGGAAGGACCTGATTGGTGTCCAGAACCTGCTGAAGAAGCACCAGGCTCTGCAGGCTGAGATCACAGGTCATGAACCTCGCATCAAGGCTGTCACCCAGAAAGGAGAGACCATAGTGGAGGAAGGTAGAGCAGGTCTGGTCCTGACATGTTTCTGAGGTGTCTGCAGGTTCTGGCTCACTTTGTTTGGGTCCAGGTCACTTCGCTGGTGAGGAAGTGAAGACTAAACTGTGGGAGCTTCATGGACGTTGAGACACGCTGAAGGCCAAGGCGTCCCAGAGGAGGCAGGACCTGGAGGACTCTCTGCAGGCCCAGCAGTACTTTGCGGATGCTAATGAGGCCGAGTCCTGGATGAGGGAGAAGGAGCCCATCGTTGGAAGTCCAGACTACGGGAAAGACGAGGACTTGGCCGAGGTATGGAAGTCCCTTCCTGAGAAACTCCAATCGCTTTTCTTTGCTCTCTTTCCAGTCCTTTCCAGTGTTTCTGTATTTGTCAATTCCTTCGGTTGTCTACCAGACGTCGTTGCTCGTTTGAGCGTCTCATGGGTTAGGGGTAGAAGTGCTGGCCTCGCACAGGAAGTGATGACAAACGTGTTCCTGTCGCTCTTATTTCAAACGGTTTACGAGCTGTGATGTGTGTTCCCGCTGCAGAGCAGCCATGACACGTGGCAGCCGGCAGAAGGCTCACGCTTTTCCACTAAACACCCGCAGGGCTGCGTCTGCGGTGAACTGAGCAGGGTTTGTTTTACGGTGGCGGATCCGATTGGACCATCGCTGCGAGAAAGCTCCACTTGTGTCAGATGAGCTGAAGGTTCTGATGTTCTGCTCCACAGGCTCTCCTGAAGAAGCACAAGGCCCTGATGTCGGACCTGTCGGCTTACGGCAGCAGCATCCAGGCCCTGAAGGAGCAGGCCCAGTCCTGCAAGGTGAGTTCAGAACCCTCGGCCCGTCAGAACATTCTTATCCACCACGTTCTAACACCAGACCTGTTAACCCGACAGCAACAAGTGGCTCCAATTGACGATGAGACCGGGAAGGAGCTGGTTCTGGCTCTGTACGACTACCAGGAGAAGAGTCCTCGAGAGGTCACCATGAAGAAGGGCGACATCCTCACGCTGCTCAACAGCACCAACAAGGTTTGTGTGCCCTTCACAGCCGAGGAACGACCTCCAGCTCAGAGCGACCATCTCCACACCTGCTTTGTGTTTGTGTGACTTTAGGTTGTTTTACTTGAACTCGCGTCTTTAGCTGAATGAGGATGGAGAGACGGGCGTGGAAAACAGGAAATGTGTGTGAAACGGCTTTTGTCCACACGAGTCAGGGGAGGAGCAAACGCCTGTCGAATGTTGTGGGCGGAGCCTGTGGTTGTGTGTGCTTGGATGCTTCAGCCAGTTAATGGCGGTGTGTGTCTCAGGACTGGTGGAAGGTTGAGGTGAACGACCGTCAGGGCTTCGCTCCGGCTGCCTACGTGAAGAAGCTGGACCCGACCCAATCGTCCTCCAGGGAGAACCTTCTGGACGAGCATGGCAGCATCGCGGCCCGGCAGGAGCAGATCGAGAACCAGTAAGAGACGCCTGCTATTCTTCTTTTGGCTCACTAACAGCTTCTGCTCTGAGGTGGTGGCCACAGGTGCCTACTTCCTGTGAATGTTGTTGTTCTAACGACCTGGTTCTGTTCTGTTTGCTCTAACCTCTGACCTCTACTCCAGGATTCTGATATTCAGCACATGGACCAGGATTTGGATATTCAGCACACGGACCTTATCACCACCCTCCATAACCCACCTCTCATCTCACCCAGTGCCCCATCCACCAGGACGCCCCGCTTCTCTCCACCTCTGCTCCCTCTCCTGCGCTTCCCCCGGCTCTCTACCTCTCCCTCCTCCAGCCAACACATACACCCACCACAGTAAGTCTGCTGAACACCTCTGCCTGCCTACAATGGATTTTGAAACCAGAACCTATGCTCACCTGTGTTCTCCCTCCTCCAGACGCTGAGCTGTTGTTGCAGTTCCAACCACAGACTTATCTGTGCACCTTAAGTTCCTCCTTATAAATAAATCATTTTTTCCATCAGTTTTTGGTCAGTGTTGTATTCTGCATGTCTTGGGTTAAGTACCTTCCTCCAAACATGACACTCCTCTTCAAAGAGCAAATCTGTTCAGCACATTCTGACAGACAGACCACCATTCTTCTGTCATGTTGCTGTACAGGACATTTTTAGAGTTTTTCTTTTTAAAAATTAATAGGATTACATTTATAGTGCAATACTTTCACATTATCATTTTCCCACACTTCTGTATACCTGTATTTTGTTGTTTTTCAATAAAGAATGACAAATTACTTAAGTTTGGTTTTTGTTGCACACAAATATATATCTGTAAAAAATATCTACAAAGCTAATATTTACATAACAAGTATGATTGGGTTTTGCAATATGGCACTCAAGGGCTGGTGAATGACCTGCAGAGAGCTGGGACCACAGTAACAAAGGTCACCATCAGTAACACCCTCCAACGGCAGGGAATCAAATCCTGCAGTGGCAGACGTGTTCCGCTGCTGAAGCCAGTGCATGTCCAGGCCCGTCTGAAGTTTGCCAGAGAGCACATGGATGATACAGCAGAGGATTGGGAGAATGTCATGTGGTCAGATGAAACCAAAGTAGAACTTTTTGGTATAAACTCAACTCATCGTGTTTGGAGGAAGAAGAATACTGAGCTGCATCCCAAGAACACCATACCTACTGTGATGCATGGGGGTGGGAACATCATGCTTTGGAGCTGTTTTTCTGCTAAGGGGACAGGACGACTGATCCGTGTTAAGGACAGAATGAATGGGGCCATGTATCGTGAGATTGTGAGCCAAAACCTCCTTCCATCAGTGAGAGCTTTGAAGATGAAACGTGGCTGGGTCTTACAACACGACAATGATCCCTAACACACCGCCCGGGCAACAAAGGAGTGGCTCCGTAAGAAGCATTTGAAAGTCCTGGAGTGGCCTAGCCAGTCTCCAGACCTCAAGCCCATAGAAAATCTGTGGAGGGAGTTGAAAGTCCGTGTTGCTCGGCGACAGCCCCAAAACATCACTGCTCTCAAGAAGATCTGCATGGAGGAATGGGCCAAAATACCAGCTACTGTGTGTGCAAACCTGGTAAAGACCTATAGTAATCGTTTGACCTCTGTTATTGCCAACAAAGGTTATGTTACAAAGTATTGAGTTGCATTTTTGTTATTGACCAAATACTTATTTTCCACCCTGATTTACAAATAAATTTTTTAAAAATCCTGCCATGTGAATTCATGGAATTTTTTTCACATTCTGTCTCTTACAGTTGAAGTGTACCTATGATGTAAATGACTGACCTCTGTCATCATTTTAAGTGGGAAAACTTGCACAATCGGTGGCTGACTAAATACTTTTTTGCCCCACTGTAACAAAATATGTAGGCTACGGCTACACCGCGCTGCTGCGGGCCGACTCCGACCCGCCCAAGAGTTCCCCTGTCCCGCTGGGAGGGTTTCAAACACCGCCAGCATCTGTTAGAGCCTGTGGCGGGGTGCTGAGGGCCGGCTCCAGCCCAGGAATGAGCCCTCCTCGCCAGCCGGGAGGGTTTGAAACACCGCCATCCTCTCCTCTGCTGGCTGTTGTTCATTCTGTTATGGTTACCGGTGCTTGTGTTGCAATGTGAAACGCTTGGTCTCAGATTTTGTAAGAAAGATAATAAAACGTCCCCCCAAAATACGACTTAAACATATTTTCTCTTCTTCATTATACATTTAATGGCTGGTGCGACTCAGGAGCGATAGCCCGGAAGATACGGTACTGAAAACTTGTTCACAACAAAATGTTTTCATTACGGAAATAAATTATAAACTTACCGATTCAATACTTTTTTAATCCAGGTACTTGTCACTAACAGGCGCCGAAAACCTCCACCTAAACTCCGTGTGAGGTTCAGGTCGATGGGTGTTCCAGTTAGCTCCGGTTGGGTTGAAGCTAGGTGGCTACATCCGTTAAATCGGCTCCCACCTCCGCTTTAGCTTTGGGTTAGCCAGGGTTAGCTTCAGGTTAGCTCGTAGCTAGTTCGCACGGGTGTCGTCACTCGAGCCCAGCCTTACAGCCCCACCCTCAGCTCCTCCTCTCTTCCCTTTTATGGAAATGTCTGGGCTGGACGGAACCTGTGACACGGTCAAAATGATGGTGGTGGCCACCTCCCATTATGGACAAAAAACGTGTTATTGGAGCCTATGGAATCCGTTTGTCCAGTATGTACAGTCTATGGTCTAGAAGCAGACCAGTCCGACATGAGTTCTTGTTCATTATTGTTTATTTTTGTGGACCCCCCCCCCACCCCCCCACCCCCACCCCCCCCACCCCACACACACACACCCATCCCCACCCCCCCCACACACACCTTTTGTCTTTTCCTTTCTTTTTCACCTCTGTCTCCGTGTCTGGTCGGAATTACAAGTTAAGTCAAGTCAAGTTTATTTATATAGCGCCAAATCACGACAAGAGTCGTCTCAAGGCACTTCACATAATAAACATTCCAATTCACAGTTCATTAAGCCAATCAGAAATAATGTTTCCTATATAAGGAACCCAGCAAATGCATCAAGTCACTGGCTAGTGTCAGTGACTATACAGCAATCCTCATACTAAGCAAGCATGAAGCGACAGTGGAGAGGAAAACTCCCTTTTAACAGGAAGAAACCTCCAGAGAATCCTGGCTCAGTATAAGCAGCCATCCTCCACGACTCACTGGGGATCGAGAAGACAGAGCAGGCAGACAAAGACACAGACACACACACAGACACACACACACACACACACACACACACACACACACACACACACACACACACACACACACACACACACACACACACACACACACACACACACACACACACAAGTAATGTGTCTATAGTTATATTGTGATGTCTTAGTAAATATTGTATTTGGTTAAAGATAAACTTTATTGTATTTATCCTAGTGGATCTATAATTAAACGGATAAACTAGTTTTAGCACATCAAAAGTCAATGAAAACAAAAAGTTATTATCAGGAGAGAGAGAATGTTTAAGTGGTTAGCAGCAGTGTGCTAGTCGATGGCCCCCTCCATGAGGCCACCACAGCTCAGCAGAACATCATTGTAGCTTCTTCTGGGGAGAAAAACACTCACAGAGAAAATAAAGTTAACAGCTGAAATTGCACAAAATAGTACAGTTAAAGAGCAGACTGTAGAATAAAGTAGTAGAATGTGAAAAGTGGTCAGTGTGTCCTCCAGCAGTCTAAGCCTATAGCAGCATAACTACAGAGTTAACTCTGGATAATCTATCCTATTTAGATGTAGGCATGTTGGAGGCAGGGCAAGGGAGAGCCGTCTTTACCGACTGTACACTCCACCTCCCTCTACTCCCCCACTTGTCCAGATTTAGGCTAACATCAGATTTTAACTATAGGCCCTATCAAATAAAAATGTTTTAAGCCTATTCTTAAAAGTAGACAAAGTGTCTGCCTCACGGACTAAAGCTGGGAGCTGGTTCCACAGGAGAGGAGCCTGATAACTACAAAGCATTCAAAAACAATAACAATAAAGTTTTAAGTATCAGGCGTGACATTAAAAGCAGACGCTTTGATGCTCCACCTGAGAGTAAATCTGTAAGGCTTGTTACCAGCATTCAGACATTAATTCTGCTTGTTTCACAGCCAGACAGGACAGGGGGGGAAAAAGAAGAAGCTGCAGGATGAGTCCAAATCTGATAAATCCACTTCTTTTTCATCATCTCCTTCCTTATCCTCCACAACGTACCAAGAGCACAGCCAGACTCACTCAGCTGATCAGAACACAGAAGCAAATTTCCAGCATGAATCTGATCCATCAGCTGATGGAACAAACCCCAACGACCAGGAACAGAATGAGGAGTACGAGACAGAAGAGCAGCTGCAGGCTCGTATCCTGACCTCTGCCCTGGAGTTTGTCCCACAGCACAGCTGGTCGATGGAAGCTATAGCTGCTGGTGCTGAGGTTCTGGGTCTATTCTCCGCCTCCGCTGGCATGTTCTCCAACGGCGCCGGATACCTGGTCCTACATTTCATCGCCCA